ATACAGTATGAGTGGAGATTTTTGGGACTGAACTTACCTTTTAGTTCTGTGCACACAACAGCTACACAGACCACTGGGTCCACGAGAAGACTATAGAACATTTATATTTTGGGAGTTCTGGTCACACCCAGACAGGGCGAGAACTGGCACACTTGAAAGTACTCTTGAGATAAGTAAGTGAGCCAGAGATCTGTGAGCACAACACACTTTCAGTGTCTCCAGCCCAGCAGTCTTCCTGAAAAACCATCCTGCTGAGAAATGCAGGAGAATTCTTTGCAGGCAGTGTTTCCAGAGTGATACACTTCCAACAGATGTTGGGATACTGGGAATGAGAAATGTATAAAAGACAGGTGAAAATTATATAATCTATTCCTTTTGAAGAAACCCTTCATGTTCCTCAGTGCACAATAAGCTTCTTTATTGAAAGGCTCTGACAGTGATGAAGAGTTTTTCATTCTTTTCATCTTTATAGAGATTTCTTGAGTATTAAAATAAAAGGCTGGTTTTAGGGAGGGGGAAGATAAAATTGCATCCAGGGAAACAGATTGCCAGTTGGCTCTGTAATAAAAATAATTTCTAAGTTTTTATCCCAGTAATAAGCAGAACTGGAGAGGTTAAAGTGCTGTAAAGGTGAAAAAATGAACAGCTGGAGTGAAGGAAGAGACTGCAATAACAGTTATACAGGTGACAAACAAAAACCAGGTATTGCATGTTTAGTGATGCTCCAGAAACTACATAAGAGAAAATTTTGAAGTCAGAAACCAGTACTCTAGGAATTTTAATTGAACAGATGAACACTCGAGGGGTTCCTGAGCTGCCAAGATACAAGGCATACTTACCTGCCTTCTATTCTTTTGTTTTAAATGTGGTGTAGTTTATTTAAAGACTCAACTCTCCCTGGTGCCAGTACTGAACTGGGTGCTGGGCTTCAGTGGCTCACTGATTTCTGTGTCTGTGATAATGTCTGGACATCTTGTTGCCAGGTGCATTGAAAACAATATTCAAATAACTCTATTTCTTCCAGATCTCTGTGCCTGGTGTTTCCAGCTCACAGATTCCCAGTGCTACCCCACCAGTGCCTCACTCAGACTCTGGTACTCAGGAGAGAGAAGCACATAGCTCTTTTCACTGACCAGACACAGTTTTGTGCAGCTCTTACCACGTGCAGGAATGGCCCTGAGAGGACACTATGCTGATCTCCAATTCTCTCATGAAATTTTTATTGATGCTAATGGATAACATGCATGTGGTAGCTCTGCTAAAATCAGGGCTAGGTTAAGCAGCTATTTGTCTTGTACTGTCAGTTTGTGCCAGTGTATCTGAACCCTTTGTGTGATGAATGGAATGGATCGAGGCTGCAGCTTTCTGGGGATCACCTAGGCTGCAGAGGAAGAGTACAGTGTATTAAGTCACTTCCTGATTGCTCCTGAGAGGGGCTCATTCCCAAGCTGATACGAGGGGGAATTAACAGCAGACACTGCCCCGAGCTTCTGCAGAAATCTTGTTTTTCTCCATGGTCAGAGTAACTCCATAACAACTGAGCTGGTGCTCGAGTTGAACACTGATGGGTGCCTTGGTTGTCTGACACAAAACCACTTTGATGTTTCAGGGTCAAAAAAAGGCTCTTCCTTTCTGCTGCTACTCCCCTGTAGTGTACTAAGCCAGCTGATGTCAGCTTCCTGAGAAGGAAAAAACTCCAGACCCACACAAAAACTGACTCTTGTGCAAGGGACAAGCTAAGGTGTCTGTAAGCACAGGTGTTCAGAGGATGTCGATGACTGCTCATGGCATCCTTTTCAAAGTTTGACCATCCATTTTTACATTTTGATCACTACATTTTGACTCATTTTCTGTTGTGCTTATAAGATAATCTTTAAAATCACAGAGTCCAAACAACCTTGCAAAATGACCATAAGAATGACAAATTTCCTATGGAGTAAGTAACAAAAATGAAGCCTCTTCAGCCCCAGGGCAGGCTCACTTTAGATGGTGACCTTTTCAAAAAGTGTTTTTCTTTCACATGAAATGTACTTTTTCTTTCATTTCCAGGAGAGAGAGATGACAAGAAAAAAATGCTGTATTTTATTGTTCTATAATTTATTTTTCTATGATTTTTGCCTTTATAAAACAAAATTAAATTTAAGAGGCTTTAGTTCTTAATTTTATATTTCAGATTGAGAATCTAATTTTACTTCAAATGCCCTTTTTTTTTTTTTTTTTTTTTTAATGTGGTTCCTCTCATTAGGCTTTAAAAGGACATACTAAGCTCTCTGGAAAAGGGTCTAATTTCTGAAACTAGCAGTCAGTCACATGCCTTCAAATATTCTCCTGCATTATTCAAAACACCTACAGCTGAGTGTGTATCTTAGGCAACCTGGCTTGATATTGAATAATGTAGTCACTGCCGTGGCGCTCAGAAGGATGTCTGTACCTCGTAAATGCTATTTTTGTGTGTTGTCTTGTTGCTCGAGGGATCACAGAAAACTAGCCTGAGTACTACATTTATTTTCCCAGAAAGTATACGATTTGAATGTGTGTTTACGAGTTTTTTGGTTGCTTCTTTTCTCTTCCTCTGCCTTTGTTAATTACCTCAATACATGTTTAAAGCCTACCATTAATTGCTATTGAAGTGCATTTAATCTGAAGCAAAAGTTTCTGCTATTTAAGTCTCTTGTCAGGAAACCAAGTATTAGAGTTGTTTGCTTTCTTATTTCCGAGGCTGTTTAATGGCAGCATAAATATTCAGCCTGACTCTGAATAGGTAATTAAAGCTGACTCTTGGCCAGATGTTCCCCTTTGTTGCCTGGCGTGGAGCTGAGGGAAGAGCAGGAAGCTGCAATTCCAGTGCTCGCTGTCCCACTGCACGCTGTGGCACTGGAAATTGTGTGAGTTAAGTGTCCCCAAGAACAGAAGGTTTCTCCCATGTGAGCAGAGGAATGATCTGTGTCCCCCTATCCCAGTGTGCCCCTTCCCTCTCTACTCCTCAACAGTTTGGAAAATCCCTTTGTGCAGCGGATTTTGGGAGGCAGGAGAAATGGGAGAAATGAGTTCTGCATTTTCCCCTGGATGAGACAATGGATTTCAGGATGAGACAGTCTTTTAAGTGTGTACAGTGTGGGTGAAGGCTTTTGAGACGAGTCAGGTGTGCAGATGTGAAGATATTGACTGCTTTAACTTTTGTGCCACACCTTCAGTCCTCAGAGGCAATAAAGCTCTCAGGGAGCAGAGCAAATGCCATGAGAGCAGAAACCAGGGAACAAATAGAGGGAGGTGCTGAGAGGCACCTGCAGTGCTGGGGCTTTGCTTCAGAATTCCCTGGTGCTCAGGGGTTTCACAGGAATCCCACCTTGTGTGAGGAACAGCTTTGGTGAGAGGATTTGGGAGAACATTGTGTGGATTTTACACTGTCATGAATACCAGTGGCCTCCTGAGCCCAGGAGTCAGCAAGGACCGAGGCTGTGCTTGGAGTGAATGTCCATGTTTATTTCACGGGAAATAGTAGCACTGCTTTCAAAAGATGAATGGCTGCTGAGGCTGGAAAGTAAAGGACAATTACACCATGAAGCACGGGTGGACAAGAGGAAAAGCCTTTTTCTGGCTTCAGGATTGTTCGTGGGAGGATACCAGCCTTGTTTTTATTCTCTTATGCTAGTAATGGCTTCTCACTTAGTTTGGAAAACTCTTAAACTTCACCATGGATCAAGTGACAGTAGAGGTGTCTCTCTCCCAGGTCCTGGAGACAAGCAGCTAACAACCAGTGGAAACAAGAAGTTCTTGGCCTGACAGCACTGCAGAACCATGCGGGAGAGTTCACTCTGAAGACAAATATAAAGAATGCCATGCCGTACAAGCCACGCCGTAAGGCATGATGTCAGGGGACCCGTCAATGATTTCTGCCTGTCCGGGTTAGCTGTACCTACACCCCTGACAGGCTGGGGCAGCCTTCGCAGCCTTCTCACGCTCCGTCTCCGCAGGAGCCCAGCTCCCTTTCCCGGCGCACGGGGCTGAGCCGGGTGTCACCCCGGCCGCGGACAGGGGTCTCTTTCTACGCTGTCACCACGGAGGGCTTTCCGCTTCAGCGGCCGCGAAATCCGCATCGGGGGCCGGGCCGGGCCGGCCCTCCCTCGCAGGCGGCCCCCGCCGGTGCCCGCCTTGTGAGGGGGCCCCGCCGCAATGCAGGAGCGCTGCCGGCGGCCGCGGCTCGTGGGGGGAAGCGGTCTGGAGCCGGAGGGAGCCCCGTCGGGAGCGGGGGGAGGCGGGAGGCGGCGGACAATGTCCCGGCTGTGGCCGCGCCGGGGAGCCGCTGCCGCACCGCGGGGGGACCCAGGTGACAAAACAATGCGGCGGCACGGGCGGGCGGGGTGCGGCGGGGCGGGCGCGCTGCCCGGCGCCGGGCGCTGCATCCCCGCCGGACGGGCCTTTGTGGCTGCGTCCTCCCCGCGGGTCGGGGTCTCTCCCTTTCCCAGCAGCGGCCAGAGGGAGGAGGGCTCGGGCTGGAGCTCGGGGGCTGCTGCTGCTGCCATAGAGGCAGCCCCCCTGTATAGCGAGGAGCCTGCTGCGCTGGGAAAGAAAGACCTGGCAGCCGGGTGGGAGAGACGGCGCTGTCTGGCTGAGCTCCTGAGCATCCTGGCGCAGCCCCGGGGACCCGGCAGCTCCCAGCGAGGTGTAGGGGTGGGGGAAACCCCCACCGGTGCTGGTTTACCACGTTAAGGGTCACACATGTCTCCGGTTCTGCAGACTTGACCCGAACTGACCTGAATCTTGTTTTGCCCGAAACAAGGATGCTGTGGGTTTGATCCGTTTGGGGTTACACTGCCCGATGGAAACAACGCAGCCTTCGCAGGACGGGGTGGGCTCTCCTTGTGTGGGAACGGAGCTGGGGGAGGGAGGAGGGTTCCTAGGATACAAATGATACGGGTGAATAACCCTAAGGGAAATGCAGACTCAGCCTGATTTCATTCGATCTCTCCATGCCTTCTTCCTCACTGTAGGCTGCGAAGGCTTGAGGAAATTGCAACGCTGAGCCAGCGGTGCTGGCAGAAATGTGTGAGGAAACTGAAAAGTTTAAGTTTGATTATAGCAGGATTTGGGGAGCGTTTTGAATGACACAGCTTAATTTCAGTGTAAGTGGAATAACAGAGTCATAAAGTGTCCATTAAAAAAACCCTGAACTAAACCAGAAAACACTACTTAGAAACTAGCTGAATGTTCTCTCCATGCTTCCTAAATGAAGTCTCTGATGTCTGTTTGGTTTGAGGTAACCTGTAACAATTTTCTAGCGTGCAGCTGACAAAGGGAAGAATAGACTGACAGGTTCACTTGTCTTTCAGATGACAGGGTATCACGTTTTGTTTTCTGCCAAGTTGCAAGGTTGGTGCAATGCAATACTGAAGTAACTTGTGACATAGGGAGAATCTGTGCAGGAGGGATTTGGTTAGAAGACAGAAGACCAGGTAGTAAAGCAATGATTTGTGATGCCAGAAATCTTTATGTTCTTTCCATGCGCTGGAATGCGGAGGCTGTCAGGGGAAAAAAAGGCTTGAGGGATAAAGTGTGATTTAGTGTGTGTTGTATTGACAGTATTGAAGCTGCAGCCACTTCTTGCAGCACAGTACAATGCATAAAAGAAATGTCTGTATGTAAAATAGCTGAGTGCTGTATGCAGTGCCTGCCCATCATCTTTATAGCTCCACTTAGCACAGCACTGCGGTATCTGCAGCTTGGTGAGTGAAATTGTTCATACCCAGGAGCTACTGCATGTAAAGCTTCTAATTATACTGATTTTTGGCATTTTTCAAGCCTTTGGTTTGTAATTGGGTAATGCTGGTTGAGCTGACAAGTTTTCCTTCATGACAGGCACCCTGTAAGCTTTCAGTCTGAATGTTTAGTTCACTCCCATGGGGACAGCACCTGGTGTTCAACAGATCTGCCCTACTCTGTCCCTGCAAAGTCTCCCCAAAGCTTCATTCAGCTGTAGAGAGGCCCCAAGAGGTCTGTTCTGTCCAGAGGCATTTCCAGCTGATGCATTTCTGGGTAAAGGAGCTTTATGCTGGTCCACAGGGAGTGACCAGGGTTTGTGACAAACGCAACTGTGACCAGGAGCTGGGAGAGGATGCTGCAGCCTTGGATGTCAGCTCAAGTTAGAGCAGCCTCTGGGAGGCCAGGTCTGTGCAGCAAGGCCAGAATGCTGCCTCTGCTAGAAAAGACCTGATCCCTTCATGAACATGTCAGGGTTTAGGATATGTTTTGCTTTCTAACTGTGTCACTGGTGGTTGGGGTTATATGGGACTTGACTGGTGTCTCATCTTGTGCTTTTATTTCTGCCAAATGCTTCTTTTGTTGGTTGAGTTGATGTGACCTGCCATGGCCAATTTCTCCCACTTTCACGGCAATGCTGTTGAAATCTTTTTAGGCCTCTTCTGGACATCATATCTGCTGTTGCAGTGAAGTCTGGATTTCTTTTCATTTTTTCCTTTTAAAGTTACAGATCTGGTCAAATATTTAAAAAAATCCAGTTACTTCTTCTTCTAAGCTGTTCCAAGGGATTAATTCCTTTTTGCTCCCCTCTCCTATGATTTCACCTGTTCTCTCTATAAATGCACAAAGCAACCATCCCTTTCTTAAAAAAAATCTCAAGAACAGACTTTTTACTTTAAAACAATAATATTAAAGGATCCCATTGTGTCAGTTTTCTCTACCTGAATTGGTTCTGCCTTTTGACGATGTGTCAGATGGGATTTCACAAGTATTTGACTTCAAAGAGCATACCAGTTATGGTTTTAGAAACCTCTCCCTGTGGCTGTTTTAGTCTGTAGGTATTGTGAAGAATGAAAATTGGCTTTTTGGATTTTAAAAAAGCTGTGCTGGCTCCCAGAAAATGTGAAAGGAGTAAAAAACAATGCACGCAAACAATGCTACTTTCAATTAGGAGGATGAGTACAGTCATGACCTTAATTTGGTTTGAAGCAGCATGACCTTTTTGGGGCATTTGCATCTGTTCCTTTTTTTTGTTTTCCTTAAGTGAACTAGCTGTTGATATTTTCTTTATGCAGCTTTAGTGAAATGTTTGTCCATCCATAGATGAATTCTTACATAATTACTGAGATTTTGTATGGCACTTGTCACGTTTCTATTAAATAGTCTGGCTGGTTGAAAAGAAGGATGGGTGAAGCTCCAGGCTGCATCAGGTTGGTGTTTCTGCAGTGGAGAGAGCGGTGCCAGGAGGACTTGGAGTCTGTTCCAGGGATGAGCTCTGAAGTCCAAGGGCCGTGGCTGTAAATGGTACACTTGCTTCACAGATGTTGCACTGCAGAGTGTGCAGCTGTTTGGTGCTGTAAGGTCACAGATGTTGGCGTTGCACTGAGGGAATGCTGCTGCCAAGGCTGAGCCCTGGTGATCTGAAATGCCTGTGACACATCTGCAGGCTTCCTCTTCCTCGCTGTGACAAGTGTCCTGGCTCCTGGGTCATTACATCCAATCTGCCTTTTCTCAGTGACCAGGCACATTTTTGATATTGGAAGAACATTGCATAGCTCTCATTATTCAAAATGTGTCAGCTCTGGCCCGTGTGCTGTGCTGTTAAGAATCATAGTGATATGCATTTAAAATAAACAAATGCAAGTTAAAAATTTTGCTAGAACTGCTATTAAAACAGCAACTTTGCAGTGTTTTAAAATTAGTATGGCAGTGGTGATCTGTGTCAGTAATCAGTATTAAAACAGGAAATTCCTTCAGAGGCTGTCTCAGAGGGATTTGAGAAACATTTTCATGTAAATGAAGAGGAAAATGCAGTCATTTCTAAGAAATAAGCAAATAAATAAACTAAACTCCTCAGAATATGGTGGCCAGAAAGCCTAGAATGCCTTTGTTCTTCACCCAGGACTGCACAGGGTGTGTCAAGGGCACCCCAGTGGCTTTGTGAGCTGTGTTGGTGCTCCCCTGCCCTGGCTCACTCCCCTGTGAGTCATGGGTGCTCCCTGGCCCAGATCAGCAGCTCTGTTACAGATTTGCAGGCTCTGAGCACATGGATCAGTTCCAAGGGTACCTAAATTTGCAAGAATGGTAGACCTGGAGAGGATTTGGCTTTTAGCTTTTAACTCAACACTTGCAGGCTGTGCTCTGCAGATGCAGTTTCTGAGGAATATTGAGAGAGATTTCTAGTAATCATTACCAGTTGGAGTCCAGAAAAATGTGGATATGAATGTAGTTCAATAATAGCAATTCCATGTCATTTGAGGGAGTTAATTCACATTCTCTCTCTGAAGAAAATCAGTTTCTATTGCAGGAGCCTGCCCAACCTGCACTGGTTTCCTTGGGGAAGGAAGCAGAGATAAATTATTCTCCCTTTGCTACTTCCTTCGCCCAGAGGGAATGATCTGGGAACACAACTTCAATTTGTCCATTTCTGGATACATCCCTAGTTCTCAGTGCTATTCAGGGACCAGTCTCTAGGGTTGAAGCAGTTTCTCTCAAAGGGTTTTACAGTCCTGAGTACTCTATGTCCACCTGTCCCTACAAGGTGCTGTGCATTTCTATCCATGCATGCTTTTTTTTTCCCTGTTCCCTGTGAGGTTGAAAGAGTGATTATTTGGGTGTCTCTTTCCTCATTACAGGGATTGGGATATTTTTCTCTTCTGAGAGATAATAACACCATTAAAATAACAGCTCCTCAGTGCATCCTTGCCCCTTCTTTTGTCATTGTTTGGGAAATGTGATTGTTTGGGAAATGTGACCATTCAGTCAGTTTCAGCATCATTTGAGGACTCTTGATTGCTTCTCCATGATTTAAAAAGATCAGAATACCTGTGGTTACACTGGACTAGCTGGCAACTAGTCCCATTCCCTGATGGCAAACAGATCCAACAAATTTAACATCTATCTCAAGTTTCCATGGATACCTGAGTAGAGCACTCACAGCAATCAGAACGGCAGGGCATGCCACTTACAAAAGCTTTCAGTATTGGCACTATGGAAGTGCTGCATTCGAAAATCAACCTTTTGTAGGAGCGCTCTTGCTTGCTCAGCTACGCTCCTGTTAGGGTTTTAGCCACAGGAGCTCCTTTGAAGGTTGTGCCAGGGGCTTGTCACCGTGACAGTGTAAATCTGCAGTTGGTTTTCTGGCTGGTCACTGTGGTCTCTGTGCATGCACTGTCATGGCACTTGGATGTAACCCTGGTGGGTGTTAGCATAAAAACCTCTGCAAGTGGATTTTGCTTGGTGACCCCATGATTTTGTGATCTGCTCTATAAATACTAATCAGGTAATTTCTTCTTTTCTTATCAGGTATTTTTTCTTTCAGTTTTTCTTTAAGCCTGGTAACTGTGTGTTTTTGAGACCAAAAAGAAATAAAATCTGGTTTTTGATGTAGCAATGAAATATTGCTCAGAAGATAAATCAGTCGCCATAGACTATGGTTTCATAGATGACTTTGCTAATGACTTTTCAAATGTGATACCTACATTTGATGTTTTGTCACAGTTACTATTCTTTTATTTTTCCATCCTTGAACAAAATAGGGTTTAATAGCCTTGAAGAATATGGAGGGATTTATATACAGCATCACTCATGCTGACTGCTATAAGTAATGGCTATTCTAGGTTGGCTTTTCTTTTTATCCTGCCCCATGGTTATCCTTTTTTTATTCCCTTTGAATTGATGAGAAGGGTTGGTTTTCTCTTGTCAAGACTCTGTAAATGTGTGAATCATGTTAAGCCTTCCAGAAGATTGTCAAAATGAAGACAAACATATTCAAATTTTTTCCCCAATTCATGTTTTAAGAAAAAGGTGTCACTACATTCATCCAGCTTCATGCATTGCAAGATGCTGTTTGAATCTAGGAATGCTTGAAAACTAAGTAACCTTTTTGTCTTCTAAGTAAACAAATGCCCCCTAAAGTGTTCTTATTCCTGTGTGCTACATGCACAGTCTGAAAAGATGAACAGTGATTCTTTGAATATCTTGATTGAGAAAAGTAGGATTGCATTCTTTTCAGGATACAATTGCATCTTGACATGGTTCTTAAATAGAAACTTGTAGTAAAACATGTTTATAACTGTAATATTTTGATCTTGTTTTTTAAAAAGGAAAAGCAGTGAACCAGTCCAGTTGAGCTGGGAAATGGTGT